TGGGGTTTTGTGTCTTGTGATGGCAGATATACCCATATACTTTCTCTGCAGGAGAAGAAAAACAAAAATCTGCATTGTCTTTTTTTGCTGTTGTCTTGTGTTTAAAGAAGTAGGATTAGATTAACTATGATCGCAATGGCATTTAAAGCTTCAGGGACTTTCCTTCCCAGATGATTTTTCCTTTTAGAAGGAACAAGTAAGGTTTTGTTTTATGTCAGTTTGTTTATGTCAGCAACTGCTTTAGTTGGTAGGAAACACGCAGCTATCATTGCTATATTGGGCTGTGATAACTGTATTCAAACAGTTAAAAAAAAAACAAAACCTCAGAGGTGTAACTTTCTAGGTAAATCATAGATAGTCTTTTGTTAGTTACATTTGAGGATTCTGCTAGAATGGTCTGAGCTGGCGTGGACGTCTTAAACGAGATCTAGAGAGTTCATGTAGCCACTTTATATTTTATTTTGGAATATAAATAAAATCACTTTCATCTTTTTTCTTTTTTTTTTTTTAACTAGGCAGTGAAATATTTTGTCCTTAAATCTAGTGCATCTCCCTTACACTTCCCAGTGCACCAGAAGAACTACTGCTGTACTTCTCAAAACGTAGTCTATCAACTAAGAAACAGTCAGCAGGTTCATATTAAACAGTATTTCCAGTTAAGTCAGATATAGGCGTGTAGTACCTACTTCTTCTTCCTCTTCTCCTATCTGCAGTATTTGGCAATGGTTTGTGCTCAGAAAAGTATGAGAATGACCGTTTTATGCTATTACGGGTACTCTGGAAGAGGGGGAAGATTACAAAGAATAGAATGAAATGTGCATTCAGATTGTTGTATTGGCCACATTTAAAGTCAAGGTGCACAGGAGATGCTCCAAGATGAAAAATTGTATGCTAGTGACTGGAACCTGTAAATGTTGTCCCTCTTTCCACCTGTTCTTGTTGCTTAAGAATCTAGAAAACTGCCAGAGGTGAGTAACTTCAACAGTCTCCGGAGGATGTTGCAACTCAGTGCTTCGGGGCACCAATCCCATGCAAGTATGAATATGCAGAAGTGTCTAGGCCTGGGAATGCACTTTTCTTGCTTATTTCTTTTCTGTTAATTCCCCTACTGACAAAAATAGCATGTAAAGCCTCTTAAGCTTGTGTGCCTACCCTATAGCTGCAGCTTTTAATGTCACTGGATCAGCAGCCAACTCCTGTATGTCACTGACTGTATATAAGTCCATAGGTGAACCACCATCTGTTGTGATTTAGGGAGGTAGGGAATGATTTTTTGAGAATGATATTTAAAAGAGAAGACCTTAGTGTAAGTGGTTTAGAAAGACTTTTACAAATTATTGTTTGCTTAGCAGGCTAGACCCAGGTAAGCAGGGGAGAGCTGCAATCCATTAAGAACAGCAGTACCTTCTCATACTTGTGGTGGCATATCATTGCTGACTAAAACTGCTTTTCTGATGGACCTGGTGAAAAAGTCTCATTAAGACATGAACTCATGCTAGAAAGAGTTCAAGAAGCTGTTGGGATTCTCGGTGATTCTTGGCACAGTTACCACTAAAAACTGTGAGGGTCTAGTACTTCTAAGTTGTCTTCCAAATGGGAGCTGCCTAGCCTTGGTGCCAGTAAACTGGATAACGGTGGCTGAAGAGATGTACGTCATCTGCAGCCTTCACTTCTGGCCTCTGACCTTCTTGCAAGACAAGCGTTTGCAGGAAGGAAAGCTGCTTAATACGCCTTGCACTTGTTGCAGCAGAACTTTCTAAAGTTTAAAGCAACCATGGCAAGCTTTTGTTTGCCTTCAGTTCTCTCCTTTCTTTGTTCTTTAAAATCCCCGCTCCTTACAATTTGTCCTCCAGTCCTTTGTAACTGACTTATCACCAATGTAATTGCTGATAACCGAAGATGAGACTTCTGTACCTCTGTTGAGGGGGAAGAATATTGTGTAAGCAGGGATTACTTTTTCATCATCACATCTGGTTATTTTGAGTCACTCTATGGAGTAATTCCTGAACCTGCACATACCACTTCTGTTAGAAGGTTTCAGCCTGTATCTGTTAATGCACAACTCGTATCTACTCCAAAAACTCTTTAAATTCAGCTGAAAGCATTAAAAGTTGCCTCTACAAATACTGTCATCATTTGGACTGATACCAGCCTAGGGAAAAAAAGACATTTAAAAATGTATTAGGGGATGGAGAGTAAAGCATCTGTCTGGGTGAGATGGGTGGATTTGGACAAAGTTCTTCGAAGCTTTATTCAAATGCAAAGGATAAATAGATGAGTTATCAAACAGTTAATTTTTGCTGACCTGCCACATTCTTAAGATTTTACAGCAAAAGTTGCACCAGATGAACAGGAAGAGAAGTCTACATAGCCCTGGTTATGGTTGTATGAGGCTGCAGATGTTGCCTTCTTCTGTTGCATTTGGTTTTCCTAGCCTGCTGTTTTGCTATGTTGTCGAGACAGAGCTTAAGAAGCAGTTAGCGCTGACTGTCAGGGGAAGGAAGGTGGACACGGTGATTTAATATTAACCTGTTGATAATAGCTGCAGACTTCAGAGCTGGTAAGCATGAAACTCCGTGATGAGCATGTTAGCAGCCGTTGGATGCATCCTCAAAATCGTAGTTCTGCCTTCAGTCTCCTTTCTCTGGCATGTTTCTTTTACCTAGGGGAGGTGAAACATTCAGATCTGCTACAGTCTCTTGGGTTATGCCCTCCTTGCTGGGGCCACAACCCAGTGGGGGGAGAGAGTGTTAAATCTTATTTCATTCAGTCCCTCCAGTCTGTACGGCAGTGTTAGTCAATAAAAACTCTTGGTCCTTAAAAGGAAAACTGCAAAGCAAAATTAAACAAAATTGGTGAATTCCCTGGTGTGGTGAACAAACTGAGAAGTAAAAGTTGTGTCAGTGCAGAACTCTTAATTCACGTCAGGGAAATAAAGTTGAGGTCCTGAATCTGGTAATAAGCTGACTTTTTTATTATTAAACTCAACTACTGCTCTTTCTCAAGTGCTCTCATTGGAAACTGTCTGTAAGCTGTGAGTTAGCTGACTAACCAGTGTTTTTCACCTAGACTTAAATAAAATTGCAAGGTAACGTTTCATACATCTCTGTAAAGGCCACCGTGTAGGACGAGCTAGTGCTGCTTCAGAGGCTTTTTAGAGCAGAGCAATTTAGAAAGACACGCTTAGGTGCCAACTTTCAAAAAAGCTGTAAGTTCTGGAAACTTTGAACTTCTCCTTCCTAAGAGAAGTAACTGTTCCTCTGTACTCTGTTTTGAAGACAGTAAGCCTGTCTCCCAAGATCATTTAAAAAAACCAAACCAACATATATATATATGTAAATGTTCTAGGAGATGCCTGGGAAGGACATGTCCAAAAGCAATTTTGATACTTATATTCTCAAGTATGAGAGAATATGAGTATAAATATCTTATATATGAATCAAATACGTAACATTACATGACACTTAAAACCTTAGAGGGTTTGAATCCTAATCATACTGTGTGGCTGAGCCTCCATGCTGTGTCCTTCATCATTTGAGCCTCTCAATTTTATTAGTAACTCTTCCAGCTAACTTTCCTGGATGTGTACTAGTGGTATTCAATATGATTGAGGGGAGATTTCTAGGAAGCCATCTTCATTGTCTCAACTTGAATTTTATTTGGAAGATTAATCAGCTGCAAACCTGCTTTCCTGTCCGGAGGTCAAATATGTTGTCTATAAAGGAGTACATTTTATCGGTTGGTAGAGACTTTTAGCTTCCATTAGCTGTTCTGGGCAAAAGCTAGCTAGGCTGAGCTGGTTTAGTAATGTCTGGGACTAGCCCATCCTGGCTTATGCCTTTTTCTGGTCTCTAAATCTTATGTGAATATTTGAAATGCTGAAGAGGAGGAGGAGGAGTTTCTTACAAATTGGGTTATCCAGAAACTGTTGTAACACATTAACACTGATTATGGTGCAGCAAGCTTTAGGGCCCTCGGGCTGATAATCAAATAGCAGGTTTGTGAAGTGGTCTTGTGTTAGACTAGTTCAGGTACTTGTATACTTCTGAGTGCTATTTTAATAAGCTTTCACAAGAGGGCAGAGTAGAATTTGCTCTGGGAAGCATAATTGTCTTGACTCATGTATATCGAGAAATTACCCAACTCAGATTCCTTCGGTGTTACGACAGCACTGGCTGTATTATTCATGCTGTCCACCTGTATTGCATACCATCCTGGGTGCTGTGTGGCTCTTCAGTCTCTGCTCCCCAACGGAAAATCCCAGAGAAAACCACAGCCTATCTCAAGTCTCCCTCCCCAGCGGGGGGGTGCTGGAGCATGGAGGAGGAGAGGTCTGTAAACATGCCCCCTGCACCAGCATTGCCAATGTTTGCTTGTTGGTTGTAGCTAAAACAATCACGTAGCTGCTGTTAGCACAAAAATCTTGTAGTTGTTAGCACAAGATAATGCTGTGGCACAGATAAGCAAGCTCTTTGTAGTTGGCAAATGTAATAAAGGCGATACTGCTTGAAAGCAGCAAGGTTTCCTTGCAACGTGTTGAGGTGTGGTAAAATATGACCAAGAAAGCTACTTGGAAAGGAAATACCGTGTATGTCTAGCTTTATGTTTTTAAGTATGTTGGCCAATTCATTTATTGCAGTTATTACAATAATACCCAGGACCATGACCCGTGTTGAAACAGTTTAGAGTCCACAAAGAAAACTAGCTCCTCTTGCCCCCTTTCTTTATTAGAGGACAAACTGAGTTAGTTTTTTTTTTTCCTGGAGCATCTCAGAAGTGTAGTTTCAATTCTTTGTTTCACCTCAATACTGCATTCCAGTAGTTTAGCTAAAAGAGCTTCTTCTGATCTTTTCATCACTCTCTGAAGAGTTTTCTGGCAGCTTATTCTGTACAATTCAGTGCTACCTCAATTAATCGAAGTCAGTTGACATCTAGCATTATAATATTCTCTGTATGTGAAGACTTTGTTCTTTTTTTTTTTTTTTTTCTTCCTCCTTCAGATCGACCCCAAAGATTACACTTTTTCTGGACTTAAAGACGAAACTGTGGGTCGACTGCCTGGAAAAGTAGCAGGGCAACAATTCGTCATTCAGGACTGTGAGAACTGTAGTATCTACGTATTTGACCATTCTGCTACAATCACTATTGATGACTGTGTAAACTGCCAAATCTTTTTAGGACCAATAAAAGGCAGCGTGTTTTTCCGTGACTGCAAAGATTGTAAATGCATAGTGGCATGCCAACAGTTTCGCACTCGGGACTGCAGAAAGCTGGAAGTGTTCTTGTGCTGTGCCACCCAGCCCATTATTGAGTCCTCCACAGGTATGAAATTTGGGTGTTTCCAGTACTATTATCCTGAGCTTGCTTTACAATTTAAAGATGCTGGACTGAGTATCTTCAATAACACATGGAGCAACATCCATGACTTTACCCCTGTGTCAGGAGAAAATAATTGGGGCCTTTTGCCTGAGAATGCTGTAGTCCAAGATTATGTTCCTCTGCCCAGCTCTGAGGAGCTGAAAGCTGTCAGAATATCTACTGATGCTACGAGAAGCATAATACCAATAACTCGAGGGCGGAGACAGAAAAGCAGTGATGAATCGTGTTTGGCCGTGTTTTTTGCTGGTGACTACACAACTGCAAATGCCAGGAAGTTAATTGATGAGGTAAGCGACCTTTGTCTGTGTTCAGCTTTTTGAATTTAATTGGACTTTCCTCTGGATAGCCTCTGGTGCTCCCTGAAGGGAGAACGCAGAGGCTCTGCTTGTCTACTAACCATACCAAGCAACTGCACTGTTTAAAACCTTAAAGCAAGGTAAGAGACTGGAGCTCATCTGATCAGACAGTTGTTTTACAGCTGACATCCTGTGACTGGCACATCTGTCCTCTAATAGTTCCAGTGTGCTTTTCCACCACGGCACACCAAAGCTATGTTCTGAAGAAAACGCATAGTTGATTTGATGAACTTGGCCAAATGTAGAGTAAGTGATTGGCAATGCTTGTGAAAAGGATATAGCCAATTAACTTGTTAGCTTTTGCCCCGAAAGTCACAGCTAACAAAACAGTCTGTCTTGAAAGTTTTTCCAGTACTAACAGAGACTTTAAAAAAAATAACATGTTAAATTGTATCCCCCCTGCCACCCAGTATTGGAATTTTTTTCTGGAAGAGGCAGTGAGTGTTTGTCACGGCTGGTCAGCTGTCTTCGATTACTTAAATAGCTGGTGCTGTCTCTCCCCTCCCGCACC